TTCCAGGACCTCCAGTGTCTGGTTCAGTACAGGTATTGTTCTAGAGAGTTAAGAGGGCACCCAGCTGATGTCTGACCACTTTTTTTTTTTTCTTTCTTTTTTTCCAGTCATCTAAGCTATGTCTGTTTGGAAGAAACTCATCTACCTCTACTCTAGCTACTGTGTCTCATTTCCACTTGAACATAATTTACCAAACATAAATAACTGGTACCCCCAGCAGGTACAAATTCACCAAGTGCTCAACCAGACATGCTGGACTCTCCTGGTCAGTGTAGCCCCTGGAGAAAAAGTAACCACGACCCAAGCCACAGAGATGTTCTTAAGACCACAAATGATGAAAAGTCTTGTGAAAAGGGGTGATCTAAAGATGAAAGAGCCCAGCTGAAGCTCCCTGCCAGCACCCCCACCCACCTCCTCCCTGAACAAACACCCAGAGGGTGGCGAGGGTGCAGGGCTCTCGGAGGAAACATGGCAGCAGCAGGCAGTCAAGGGCACGAGGTCCAGGGGAGCCAAAGAGGCGTCACTACAGCGATCCAGAGGGCTCACTTATTTTTTCTTGAGTTGGAGTCTCACTCCGTCGCCCAGGCTGGAGTGCAGGGGCACGCTCATGGCCACCCCAGTGTCGACCTGCTGGGCTCCGATGATCCTTCTGCCTCAGTCTTCCAAGTAGCCGGAACTACAGACATGCGCTACCATGCCTGGCTAATTTTTTTATTTATTGTAGAGACAATGTCTCGCCAAGTTGCCCGGGCTGGTCTTGAACCTGTGGGCTCAGGCAATCCCCTAGCCTCCACCTACCAAACTGCTAGGATTATAGGCTGAACTACCATGCCCGGCCCAGAGGGTCACCCTTTGACCCCTTTTTCTCTCCCTGGTCCTACCCGTCTGGCAGACAGCACCAGAGACCAGGCTGGCTGACACAAAAGCGAGGGCAGCACCAGCATGCACACTGCGCACTTTTTTGTCTGGTACGGGATCAGGGGTGGAGCCTCGGAATCGGCTGGGAAACAGGCTACGAGAGCTGAACGCTGAGCTGAGGACGCTAGAGCAAGGACCGACCTTTCGATTCCGGCATAGAGAGCCCCGCATCTGCCCTAAGTGCCGAGAGGGCAGGATGGGGCGACGCCCAAGGAAAAGCATCATAGAGGGCTTTCTCTTCCCCCTATTTTGCCTGCTTTATGGCTGCAAAGCACAGATATAGACAGGCCGCGTAACCTAGCCAAATTCACGGAGTAAAGTAAAAAGGTAAACTGGGACCTAGGTCTCTTGATGCCATACATCATCAGGGAATAAATCAGCCTACAAACAATGAAAAAAATCGGAATTTAAAGTCCTTGGTGCTGTAGTTGCTATTACTGTGTTTTGATAAGCAAATCAGGAATTTTTTCATCTCAAAAATCCCCTTTTGGCATTTTCTAAATACCTCTGTGAATAAAACACTTGCCGGGAGATGGTAGTGATTAGGGGTATGGTGATATCCGCCTGTAGTTCCAGGAAGCCAGCAAGAGGATCGTCTGAACCCAGGGTCCGAGTCTATCATGGGCAACATAACAAGAAACATCTCTGAAACAAAAAAATGTGATTAAGTGATTGGGGATAAATGTAAAATTGCTGTATATCATAAATTTGTTAATACAGTTGCTACCTTGTATTCTGTTGTTTTGTAGTGATGAGAAAGTCTTGCTACGTTGCCCAAGCTGGTCTCGAACTCGCTCAGTCCTCTCACTTCAACCTAACGACTAACTGGGACTACAGGGACAACATGCCTGGCCTATTCTTTCTTTCTTCCTTCCTTTCCTCCCCCCCCCTTTTTTTTTTGTTGTAAAGACAGGGCCTGGTTCTGCTGTCCAGGCTGGTTTTGACCACCTTGGCCTCCCAAAGTGCTGAGATGTCAGACATGAGCCACCGGGCTTCTCCTGTCCATGTTTAGGTCCAACATGAGCTACACCTCCCTACGTGGTCCTTCTCAATATATCAATAGCCCATTTGTTCCTCATCTCACTGTTCCAAAACCCAAAGATTTCACAGCTGCTGACCACAACCTAATGGCCTACCAAGAGGGTGGTGTAAATAAATTCCCCTCTTTGCGCATGTTTTCTTTAATCTAGCCAATCTACAATCATATTGGGAAAGTCTGAAGAAAAATACCTATGGTCATTAATAGACAGTCCAGGGGTTCTCTAACATTCTTTGGCACCCCTAACCTCTCTAGAACCTGTGAGCAATAAATTTATTTTCTTTTCTTTTTTTTTTGAGTTGGAGTCTCACTCCATCGTCCAGACTGCTACCACGCCCGGCTAATTTTTGATTTGTTGAAGAGATGAGTTGCCCAGGTGGGTCTTGAACCCGCAGACTGAGGCAATCCACTCACCTCGGCCTCCCAAAGCATGGGATTACAGGCTGAGCCAACAAACAAAAAACCCCGCCTAAAACTAATAACTAACAACACTGTATGTCAGACACTGTAGCTCATGCCTGGAGTCCCAGCACCTTGAGAGACAGAGACAGGAGGATTGTCTGGGCTCAGGGCTTCAAGACCAGTACAAGCAACATGGCAAGACCTCATCTCCACAATAAATAATTAGCCAGGTGTGGTGGCACATGCCTGTGGTTCCAGCTACTTGGAAAGCTGAGATGGAAGGATCACCTACCCAGCTGGCTGAGGCTGCAGTGGCCATGAGCATGCCATTACACTCCAGTGAGGGTGACAAAGTGAGACTCTGACTCAAACAACACCATATGATCCAACAATTCCATTTCTGGGTAGAAATATTCACAGCAGCATTATTCACTGTATTCAAAAGGTGGAAGCAACAGAAAATATGATCTAGCCATACAATGGTATATTATTTAGTCTTAAAAAGAAATCCTTATTGTGCTATAGCATGGATGAGCCCTGATATTATGCTAAATAAAAACCCAGGCACAAAAAGTCAAATACTGTGACTCATTTTATGAGGTACTTACAGTAGTGAGATTAACACAGACACAAAAAAGAATGATTTCCAGGGATTGGGAGAGAGAACAATGGAAATTCAGTGTTTAATGGGGGCAGTTTCAGTTTAGAAGATAAAAATTTGGTAGCCAGATGATGGTGATGGTTGCACAATGTGAGTGTACACTCCCGCTGTTAACATGTAAAATGAATGAAATGTAAATTTTATGTAATGTATACTTTACCATAATAAAAAAGGGGATTATATTAGTTTTATTACATGAAACCTAGGAGAACCAGAGAGCTGAGGTAAGATAAATTCAAAACCAGCTGGCTACGCTTTTTATAGAGCCTATGCTAAATAAAATATCCACCTATAGAAGGACCACAAAGTGACTGGAGTTTTATTACTGATATTAGACTTATACATCAGAAACACATTGAAAACAGTCATTTTCAACCAACTGCTAAATTAAAACTCAGATTTTCAGAGGATTAGATTTTTTAAATTAGTACTCAGACACTGCACCAAGAAATTGTGTCAAAAAATAAGCATTGCCAGGCACAGTGTCTCAAGCCTGTAATCCCAGAACTTTGAGGGAAGCTGAGGCCAGAGGATTTCCTGAGCCCAGAGGTTCAAAACTAGCCTGGGCAACATGGCCAGACCTTGTCTCTACAATAAAATAAAAAAATTAGCAGGGCGTAGTGGCACACTCCTGTGGTTCCAGCTACTGGAAGGCTGAGGTGGAAAGATTCCGAGTCCAGCAGGTTGAGGCTGTGGTAGCCGTAATCCAACCTGGGTGGCAGAGTGAGTCTCCCAACTCAAAAAAAGAAAAAAGATTTATATCTTGGCCAGATGCAGTGGCTCATGCCTATAATCCTAGCACTTTGGGAAGGGATTGTCTGAACCCACGGGTTCGAGACCAACCTGGGCAACTTGGTGAGACATCACTTCTACAATAAATCAAAAAAGTAGCCAGGCATGGTGGTGCGTGCCTCTAATTCCAGCTACTTGGAAGACTGAGGCGGAAGGATTGCCTGAGCCCAGCAGGTCGATGCTGTGGTGGTCTTGATTGTGCCACTGCACTCCAGCCTGGGTGACAAAGTAACACTCCAAAAAAAAAAAAAAGTTTTTCCACATTCCCTATATTAATAGGGTTTCTTTGTGCACTGAGATTGTAGATGATTATGACTTCTGAAATATATAAAGCCTTTCCCATGTTCCTTACAGTATGAGTTTTCTAGGGTTAAATAACAAAATAAAGCAGACTGAATGATTTAACCAAGAGAAATTTATTGGCTTAAAGTTTTGGAGGCTGGATGACCAATATCAAGGTGGGGACAGGGTTGATTTCTTTTGGAGGCCATACTAGAAGGATCTGTTCCAGGCTTAAGTCCTTGGCTCACAGATGGCCATCTTCTGATGACTTCACATAGTCTTCTGTGTATGTGTCCTTTCTTTTCTCTTCTTACAGAAACACTAGTGAAGTTGGATTAGGGATTGACCCTAACAGCCTCATTTGAAGTTACTCATCTGCTTAAAAACCTTATATCCAAATACAGATGTACTGTAAGGAACTAAGGGTTAGAGCTTTAAAATATGAACTGGGGGAGAAGGAGGAAGGGAGAAACATCCAGACCATACCATTTAAGTCATAGGGTTTCTCTCCAATATGAGATCACATATTAAGGTTAGTGGAGTTAGAAAAGGTTTCCACAGACTCTACATTCATAGGGGTTCTCACCAGTAAGATTTCTTTTTTTTTTTTGAGTCGGAGTCACTCGGTTGCCCAGGCTGGAGTGCAGTGGCATGAGCACAGCCACTGCAGCCTTGACCTGCTGGGCTCAGATAATCCTTCCACCTCAGCCTTCCAAGTAGCTGGAACTAGAGGTGTATGCCACTATGCCCAGCTAATTTTTTAATTTATTGTAGAGACAAGGTCTCACCAAGTTGCCCAGGCTGGTCTCAAACCCCGGACTCAGGCAATCCTCTTGCCTCGGCCTCCCAAAGCACTGGGGTTACAGGCATGAGACATCATGCCCAGCCACCAAAGAAATTTCTGACGTGTAAGGTAAGGCTTAAGGATTTAGTGCTTTTCTACATTTTCTGCTGACATAGAGTCTTCTTCACTGTGAATTCATAAATGTTCATTAAGACCTGAGATATTACATTCACATTCCTTACATTTGTAGGGTTTCTCTCCAAAGAGTTCATGTCTTCAAAGTGGATGAGGACACCTTCAGGCTTTTCCCACACTCATTACATTGACAATTTCTTATCTGTATGCCTTCTTTCATGATTTCGAAAGGAACTGGAAGAACTGAAGGTTTTCCCACACTCCTTACATTCATAAGGTTTTTCTCCAGTGTGAGTTCTTTCATGCAACTGAAATGAATTGGAATAACTGAAGGATTTCCCACATTGTTTACATTCATAGGGTTTTTCTCCAGTGTGAATTCGCATGTGAAGGTTAACACATGTAGGAAACTTAAAGGCTTTGCCACATTCCATACATGTATATGGTTTTTTGGCACTGTGAGTCCGCATGTGATTATTAAGACTGGAGGAATGTGTAAACGCTTTCCCACATTCCAGGCACTCAAAGGGCTTCTCTCCAGTGTGAATTCTCAAATGTCCACTAAGATTTGAAGAAATAGCAAAAGCCTTTCCACATTTGACACATTCAAAAGGTTTCTCTCCAGTGTGAGTTCTTATATGTTCACTAAGGCGAGAGGATCTAGCAAAGGCTTTCCCACATTCCTTACATTCATAAGGCTTCTCTCCACTGTGAGTTCGTATGTGCTTAGTAAGATCTGAGTTCTGAGTGAAGGCCTTCCCACAGTCCTTACATTTATAGGGTTTTATTCCAGTATGAATTCGAAAGTGATCACTAAGGCATGAAGAATTTCTAAAATATTTTCCACATACCTTACATTCAAAATGATCCTCTGTACTGTGAGTTTTTATATGCTCAGTAAATTGAGAAGACCTAGTGAAAGCTGTCTCACGTTCCTTACATCCATAGGATTTTTCTCCCATGTGAATTTTCATGTGTTGACTTAAGCATGAAGAAACAGTAAAAGCTTTCCCACAATCCCTACATTTATAAGGTTTCTCTCCGGTGTGAGTTTTTCTATGCTGAGTAAGCTGACAAGACCTAGTAAAGGCTTTCCCACATTCCTTACATTCATAGGGGTTGTCTCCAGTGTGAGTTCCCATATGAATATTGAGGTATGCAGAATATCTAAAGCCTTTTCCACATTCCTTACATTTGTAGGGTTTTTCTGAATTGTGAGTTTGTATATGCACAGCAAGGTTTGTGGTGTGTATAAAACCTCTCTCACATTCCTTCCATTCGTGGAATCTGTCTCCCTTGTGAGCTCTTATACATTCCTGAAGGTGTGACTGACTAACGAAGGATTTTCCATAGTCACTGTGCTTAAAAGATTTCTCTTTTGTGCATGTTGTCTGGTAAACAACATCTGGAGTCAGTCTGAAAGTTTTTCCCCACTGATTCAACACAGAAAGTTTCTCTCCAGCTGAGGTTTCCTTCTGCAAAGTAAGAACGTCTATTCCATACTGATTATACTCAGATGTGTTGTCACTATTTTGAGTTATCACATATGACTTAAGGCATGGGTGTTCACTGAAGACATCTTCACACTCTTTATAGTCATTGAGCTCCCCTCCATTGTGGCTTCCTGCCTATTGACAAAGGAATGAATGATAACAAAAGGACTGTTCAGATTCATTAATAGATACCGCTCATCTGACAATAGAAACATTATGATAGTTTCAATTTTTTTTTTTTTTGAGTTGGGGTCTCACTCTGCTGATTAGGCTGATGTGCAGTGGTACAATCATGGTTCACAACAGCCTTAAACTCCTGGACCCAGGTGATCTTTCTGCCTCAGCCTCCCAAGAGCTGGGATGCCCACAATTACTGTCCTTTGAGTTCTTTCTGGTGGAACATGAAAGGGTTTTGACAGGCTTTGCTACCTACTCTAATCTTAAAAAGATTTCTGTAAAGTTTCATTAAATCATCTTAAAAATTCATCATTTAGTTACAAATGTAGGAATGTATACTTGTGAGAACTCTGTAACAAGTGTGAAGCTAGGTTTTGAGTATCACCAAATCATATTCCAAGAATCTCCAGAGCCACTGCTTCATTTCAATGCTCCTTTTCTCAAATAGCTCTCATTCTGCTGATTCTCTAATGGAATGTTCAATAATCTCTGAAGGTAAAAATTAAGGAACAGCCCTTTTTAATCTTACCATTTTAATCTCACTGGAGGCTGGTTCTCTCAAAAACTCTGGCTGAAGTGCTGATTCTTTGGTTTTAAGTTGTACTTTCCATTCTAAAGTTAAAGACAAAGAGAAATTTAAGGGTTTTAAGACAGAATGGTAGATAGGAGTTGAAAATGATTGGAATCATTTGTATTTGTTTTTAAACTAAGCATGGCAATAAAATAAAAAGGACAGATTTGAGGTTTTAACCATGTCAAAAATTTGGCAATTAGAAGGATATGGGGTCAATTTTGAAGTGTATTACAAACTGATTCTATGAAAATTAACCTTTTGTTTACTTGGATGTCCGCTCTGTGGAAACATAGTAAATCTAGCAAACTACTCAGATTTCCCCTCTCAGGACATAAAGATTGCTGGTAATTGTACAGGACAAACTTATCCAAGTGCAAATGTTTAAAAAAATGTATGTTTCCTTGAAGTTTTCCATTCAAAAATAATGAAAAGTCAGTGGGGCTCAGTGGCTCAGCCTATAATCCCACCACTTTGGGAGGCCAAGGCAAGTGGATTGCCTGAGCCCGCGGGTTCAAGACCAGCCCAGGCAACTTGGCGAGACCTCATCTCTACAATAAAATTAAAAATAGCCGGGCGTGGTAGCACACATCTATAGTTCTGGCTACTCAGAAGGCTCGCCGGAGCCCAGCAGGTCGACACTGGGTTGGCCGTGAGTGTGCGTGCCACTGCACTCCAGCCTGGGTGAAGGAGTGAGACTCCAACTCAAAGAAAAAAAAAAGTGTGGTCAAGTTGCTGGTAGGTGATCTGCAAGATGTCTCCAAAGTGCAAAGGGTTAAAAACTGATGGTGTGACCAGCTGGGCAACTTGGCGAGACCTCATCTCTACAATAAATCAAGTAATTAGCCAGGCATGGTGATGCATGCCTGTAGTTCCAGTTTCTTGGAAGGCTGAGGTGGAAGGATTGCTTGAGTCCAGCATTTAAGGCTGCGGTGGCCACGAGTGTGCCACTGCACTCCAGCCTGGGCGACAGAGTAAGACTCCAATTCAAAAAAAGAAAAAGAAGCCGGGGTCGGTGGCTTAGCCTATAATCCCATGCCTTTGGGAGGCTAAAGTGAGTGGATTGCCTGAGCCCGCGGGTTCGAGACCCGCCTGGGCAGGCGAGACCTCATCTCTACAATAAATCAAAAAATTAGCCAGGCGTGGTAGCGTGCGCCTGTAGTTCCAGCTACTTGGAAGGCTGAGGCGGAAGGATCGCCGGAGCCCAGCAGGTCGAGACTGCGGTGGCCAGGAGCAGCCACTGCACTCCAGTCTGGGCGACAGAGTGAGACTCCAACTCAAAAAAAAAAAAAACAAAGAAAAGAAAAAGAAAAAACTGATGGTGAAGCTTAGTGCAGCGGCTCATGCACTTTAGTAGGCAGAGTCAAGAGGACTGCCTGAGCCCAGGGGTTGACTGCCTGACTGGGCAACCTGGCAAGACCTCATATCTACAATTAAAAAAAAAATTAGCCTGATGAGATGGTGCAGTACACACCTGTAGTTCCAGCTACTCAGAAGGCTGAGATAGAAGAATTTGCCTAAACCTAGCAGGTCGAGGCTGCGGTAGCCATGAGTGTGCCACTGTATTCCAATCTAGGTGGCAGGGTAAGAGTCAGACTCAAAAAAAAAAAAGAAAAAACTGATGATGAACACAAAGAATATTATGGAAGGAAAGCAGAAGTACAGAACAATAAGCATATGAGTTCTGACAATTAAGTTCACAAACTTGCCACCTGTGCACTTATGTTCGCATTGTACAAACAACTCAGCAAAGTTTCATAACCTTGGTATATCAATGTCTCACAGTCATATTCGTGTCAACATGTGGCAGTGTCTTGCTGAATGGTGTTCATTATTGTTGCTTGTTTTTGTGTGCCATTGTGAGAATGAATTAGAGGCACAAACAAGCATTTAATTTCTTGTTAAACTTGGCAAGAGTGGAAGTGAAATCAGGTACCTGTTAGTCCAAGTTTTTTTTTTTCTTCTGAGTTGGAGTCTCACTCTGTCGCCCAGACTGGAGTGCAGTGGCTGCTCCCGGCCACCATAGCCTCGCCTGCTGGGCTCCGGCGATCCTTCCGCCTCAGTCTTCCAAGTAGCCGGAATTACAGGCATGCGCTACCATGCCCGGATGATTTTTTGATTTATTGTAGAGATGAGGTCTCACCGCCCAGGCGGGTCTCGAACCCGCGGGCTCAGACAATCCACTCACCTCAGCCTCCCAAAGGCGTGGGATTACAGGCTAAGCCACCGAGCCTGCTAGTCCAAGTTTATGGGGATACTATCATGAAGAAAATGGCAGTGTACAATGGGTTAAATGTTTTTCTGAGGGGAGAGAGTGTCACTGGTAAAGAGGTCATGATGGCCAGTAACAAACAGAACTGATGAAAAAAAAAATTCCAAAAAATGTGTTGAATTGTGAATCAAAATCATCAGTTGACTATGAGAAGCATTGTAGACCAAATAAACATTGATAGAGAAACAGTTAGAAAAATCTTAACTGAAAATCTTGGCATGAGAAAGCTGTGTGCAAAAATGGTCCCAGAGGAACTCTTGCATCAAGACAGTGTACCAGTTCACATAGCACTGTCTCTGAGGGATTTTTTAGCCAGTAAACAAATAACTGTAACTGTATCGAACACCCTCTTTGACTCACCTGATCTAGCCCCCAATTTCTTTTTTCTTTACCCAAAGATAAAGGAAATATTGAAAGGAAGACATTCTGATGACATTCAGGACATCAACGGTAATACAACAACAGCTCTAAAGATCATTCCAGAAAAAGTTACAAAATTGCTTAGACGAGTGGACTAGGCACTGGCATCAGTGCATAGCTTCCCAAGGGGAGTACTTCAAAGGTGACCTTAGTGATACTCAGCAATGAGGCATGAAGCAATTTTTCTAGGATGAGTTCCACAACTTAGTTATCAGACCTCATACATAACAGGTCATATTGTTGTATCACAGGAAAGACTGAATAGACAGATAGTAAAAGCATTTGGGGTTGAAGACTTCCTAACTTCTGACAAAAAATGGCCTCAACCTTCTTAGATAGAGTGAATCTTAACCATTTATTCATTACATTTACAAACATACTGAACTTATTGACTGGGATTGTTCTTCAAACTCACCTTGGACAACACCTCTCTGAAATGTCCTTGACTCTTCTTGTTCTAGCCAAGAGATCAGGCTGGGTTTAAAGAGCTGACATCCTGTACACAAAGAAAGACACATTACTAGAAAAGACACACAAGAAATGATAAATCTTCCTATAATTCAGAAAACTACTTTTCTAACAAAAACAGTGAAATTATTTCAAAAGGGGTAAAAGTGCAAATATTGCCTATGTACCCCCAAAAGACTGATTACCTCTTACCCCTAAAGCTCAATTAAGGCTGATATACACACATTTACAAAACATTAAGACTTTTATCCTAATAGGAAAAAACATAAGTGAAACAAAGAGGTCTTCATTCTCATGGGGAAACAACTACACCTGTCATGCTTCTACATTATACTGCATCAGATTCATCAGGAGAGATGATGGCAGGGCCCCAATTTGCAGAGTTTCTGATGGAATATGTCAAAGATAGAGTCTGAGAATGTACATTTCGAACAGAGAGATGGTGATGCTCTTGATCTGAGAACACATTGTGAGATCCACCAAGTACAGGGAAGTCTGTTATTGAAGGAAGTGTATTCAGAGTTCATATCAGTAATCCTACGACACCATAAGTATATAAAATAATCTGTCACATCAGGCTACATGGAATGATGCTAGTCTTACCTACTGTGGCCAAATTCTTATAGTTCTCCAGCATCACATCTCTGTAGAGGTTTCTCTGAGTTGGGTCCAGTAAAGTCCATTCTTCTGGAGTGAAGTCCACAGCCAGATCGTCAAAGGTCACTGAATCCTAAACCATCACACACATACAGACTTGAGCACCACCACATGTCCATCAGTGAGCACTACAGAAAGAGAAGGAGGGCACCCAATGCCTACACAGAGTTCTGAGAGTAACTATCGTCTACCATGGAGTTTAATGGTCCTAGGAACTCTTCTCTATCCACACTCACTCATTCACTGCCTATCTCTTTAAGTAAAATTGCTATAATAATAACTCCTACATATGATCTTATCTCAACACAACCAGCCAAGGAGGTCATCTTATTTCTCTCTATTGCAGCACACTCCTGAGCACACTGTAGATGCCTGACAGACACTGATGAATAGATAAATTCTCTAACTAAAGGGCACTTTCATCTCCTTTACCATGTGTCAGAGCACTCAGCAAAATAAAAAATATGCAGTTGAGACCATGAAGAAAGATTAATTAATAAACATTAAAATACTGAGATGACTGTCAAGGTAATCCCTTCCTAATATGAGAGGTTCCACTCCCTGGGGAAATTCAGCCAGGTGTAATCCTTGAAGGAAGCTTTATTTGCCTTAAGAAGCTGCAGAAACAATTCTGCATGGAAGGAACTATATCTACCTGATGGCTGCAGGTATGACATTTTGGAGAAGAAAACACTTTCTGCATACCTGAAAACAATTTGGCAGGCAGTTAGTCACCATCCTTCCTGCTGCTGTCTTTTCTTCATGAAGGCAGACAGGGTTCCTGCAAATAAGACCTTGTGGAAGAGAAAGAAGTCACAAGAACCCAGAGCTGATTATAATTTCTTCATCATGTGCCTGGGAAGTAACTCTATTCTAGTTTGAAATTCCCCTATACTCCTGCACATTTAAGAAAGCTCATAAACATTTATGCTATATGAGGAGGGACCCTCCCAAAAAACCAGATTTATTAAAAATTGTGCATTTATTCTTCAATGTTTAAAATTCAGTTTTCTTCAAGTACTCTGTTTTATGCAATACATCTATTGAGATGCTTTTTCCACTGCTTATAAGTTTTTGAGTTCAAAAAGAAGCTTCTTTAAGGGCTTCTGCCATTTTTTGTTTCACCTCTTTCACACTGGCAAAACATTTTCCTTTGAGGACTGTTTTCATCGAGGAAAAAAAGTCACTCAGGACAAGATCAGATTAATAGGGAGGATGAGGCATGGATGTCATGCCATCTTTAGTCAAAAACTGCTGAACACTCAGGTGTGGGCAGGTTGTTTCATGTAAATCACCCATCATGAAATTGGCAAGCCACGTGCAGTGCCTCACACCTGTATCACAGCACTTTGGGAGACAGAGGCAAGAGGAATGCCTGAGTCCAGGTGTTCAAGACCAGCCTGGGCAACTTGGCGAGACATCATCTCTACAAAAAATTTAAAAATGGCTGCAAATGCCTGTGGTTCCAGCTACTTGTAAGGGTGAGGTGGAAGGATCACCTGAGCCCAGTAGGTCAAGGCTGCGGTAGCCATGAGTATGCCACTACACTCCAGTCTGGGCAACAGAGACTCCTACTCCAAAAAAAAAAAAAAAAAAAAAATCGGCAAACACTCTTAAAGAACCTTAAAAAAAATCACTGAAGCCAAACACAGCCTCTCACAACTACACTAGCTAGTATACTGATGCCAACGAGTCCTTAAAATATTTAACTAGCGGGGGAAGCCTGTATTACAAAAGGCCGCCCTGCAAAAACTAATTTTGCTTTTTTTTTGGGGGGGGGGGAGTCCCCTCTCATAACAGTCCTGTGTCACCTAAAGCCAGAAAAAGGGGTGGTCAGCTATGGTAGCCATCAGAAAAAGGGTACCGGTCTTATTTTACAGGTAAGGAAACTCAAGTCCAGAGAAATGTGACTCATGGCAACAAATCTCACGAAGGAGAATATGCAGCACCTCTTCCCAAAGCACACATACCAGGGGGCTGATTCAGAACATGGCATTTCCTTCCCACTTCAACACCTCAGAAGTGAACCAGAGCATGACTCTTCAGGCCTAGGCCACTGGGATCCATAGTGTGCAAGGAAGACCAAAAGCAGTCTCTGAAAAAGATCATCAAAAGAACTTACCATGAGACAAATCAATGGCCGCCATCCTGTGAGGCTGACGGCTAAATCTGCTTGAAAACTCCTTTCCTTGATTCCAAGGATCACTTCAAGATAGCTTGTGAATCCATATGGGTAGAGGCAACCTCCATTCTCCTTATACACTGTTAATGCAATCCTGTTTATATCAATCATTAATTATAAGCATTACCTATCAGTCATCAAACATCAAGCATTAGCTCTCTGCAGATGCTATGTGTGAAAGCCACTGAAAACAATAACAATGTGTGTCATATGGGTAACATCAACTGCCACTTACTGAAAACTAGTATGTTTCAGGAGTTGTAAGCAGTAGGCTCACTTAATTATCGTAACAACCCCTTTACAGATATTATCACCCCTACTGAACACTGGGGGGAACCCATCAGGTGTGGAAAAAAAACCTGCCAGGCACAGTGGCTCATGCCTATAATCACAGCACTTTGGGAGGTCGAAGTGAGAGGTTTGCCTGAGTCCATGGGTTCGAGACCAGCCTGGGCAGTTTGGTGAGACCTCATCTCTGCAATAAATCAAAACATTGGCCATGCGTGGTGGCACGTGGCTGTAATTTCAGCTACTTGGAAGACTGAGGCGGAAGGATAACATGAGCCCAGCAGGTCAAGGCTGTGGTGGCCATGAGCATGCCACTGCACCCCAGCCTGGGCAACAGAGTGAGACTCCAACGCAAAACAAAAAAACCTACATTCAAACAACACTAGTACTTGGTCTAATACCATCCAGTTTGAGAGTGGTGAACCAGGACTCGGATGCAGATTAGTCTGTCCCTAATGCCTGATATCCTATGGCTGTTGTTACTTCCCCACTTGACCAGCAGTCAGTCTAACCTGCACAATACAACACAGTAGTCATTGGCCACATGTGTTATTGACCACTTCATATGAACCTAGTATGACTAAAGAACATAATTTTTTTATTTAACAAAAACCAATTACTATTCCTAATAATCAGAACAGCAGCCCAAATGCTGATCTACAGGATAGTATTTGAACGACACTGAAAACCACACAGTTCATTATCCATGAACCAAATTAACCCTCAGAAAATAAAAATTCTAAAGCCCTTATACTATGAATGAGAAGTCTAAACTGTAAAGTCACTTTAGTTTACAAAACTACATGTCTAGACTTGAGGTATAGACCGTACCTGCTACCTACCACAAGTCTCAAACTGGAGATCTGTGGGTTCAATAGGGTCACAAATGTATTTATTTTGGTGGCAACTGAACCATGTATTTTACTTTATTTATTCAAACTTGAGGTATAATTAATATACAATCAAATGCACAAGTCTTAAGTTTTCAGTGGAACAACTGCATATACTTGAGTAATCAAAAGCCTAAACAAGACATAGAACATATTCACCTCTCCAGAAAATCCTCTTGCTCTTTCTATTCCATTCTTTCACCTTCACCTCCAGATAAGAACTTTGTGATTTCTTTCATTTATTAGATGCTGTATAAGTACAATAGGTACTGTGCTCATTTTCTCAAATGTATATTCTAACTTATTTTTTCCCAATTGTTTAAGGAAATAACATGGGAGAAAAATGTTAAAATCTTCCACTAGAATTGCGGACTTGTCTATTTCTTCTTTTTTGTTTTTGGAGTTGGCATCTCACTCTGTCGCCCAGACTACAGTGCAGTGGCAACTTGTGGCTACCGCAGCCTCGACCTGCTGGGCTCCCGTGATCCTTCAGCCTCAGTCTTCCAAGTAGCCAAAACTACAGGCGCACTCTACCACGCCCAGCTAATTTTTGATTTATTGTAGAGACAAGGTCTCACCAAGTTGCCTGGGTGGGTCTTGAACCCATGGGCTCAGGCAATCCACTCACTTCAGCCTTCCAAAGTGCTGGGATTACAGGCTGAGCCACCAAGCCTGGCTGTCTATTTCTTCTTGAATGTCTGTAATGTATACTCCTTTATACACCTTGTAACAACATTACCCAGTGAACACACACATTGAAATTTCGTATTTCTGGAGAAACAAAACCTTTTATCACAATAAATGTGATGTATCTCTAAAACTGTTGTTGGATGATGATATGTGACGCAGTTTTCTGTTTTCCTTTCTGCAGTCTTTGCAGCTCATGGGCAGCACTATGTGTTCTTTGAACACCAATGTTTCCTATAACTTGACACAGAGCATGATTCACTGTAGGCATCCAATGACTACTGTCAGACAGACAACTGACATCCTTTTTTTTTAAATTTCAAAACAAAGCTTATTAAAAAAAGACGAGAAGCACATGCCAGAGTTGGCATGGGCAAAAGAAACCACCAGCTGACATCCTTCTGAACAACGTTAAAGTATTCCTAAATTATAGCTAAATAACTGGTCATAACACAACAAAAATCTGAGTTCTCAGGAAACTCAGATTTCAGGAAAAAAGTACATTTCAGGAAAATATACTGAATTACTCAAAGAATGCAAGGGTGGGAGGAACACTGTCTCCTTTTATGCACTCATCCACCAACCAATGCCCTATCTGCACACCAAAGACTAGTTTCCCATGGCTTCCTGATGTGGAGACTCAGTACTCTCATTCTTGCACCCCTACTGGAATCCCAATTCCTTCTGCTCATAAGTCCAGTAGCCATGGTTTGCCTGCATTCCAGAGGGTTGCTTCCGGCTTTCCTAGAGCCTGCTGACTAAATATGTCCCAGGCAACCAGCAAACATCTTTACCAGCCAGTGGGCTACAATGACATCTTCAACAAGGAAGAATGAGAGCACGTAACTAGGAATGCAGGCATGTAGGTGGACCTAGATGAGACTCACACAAGGCACTGCAAGACTCCCTTACCAGAGAAACAGCTTGCCCTTTGGTTTCTGAAAAGAGTCTTCCTCTGCTTGAAAACCCTGTGATAGTCACACTTAAGGCAAATATCTTGGAAGAGAATGTATATTCTCAAGACCTACCACAACCACATGCTGTTGTCACTAGAGTAAAAAATATTAATTGCTCCAAAATCCAGGAGCAATGGTATATAACATAATACAAGAGAAAAAAGTTCACACAACAAAATAATTTCAACTCTGCTGATATTCAGCAAAAAAGGAAACAAAAAAAGCCACAAGGAACATGTGTGGGAATGGATACTAAGGGTGTCAGACCAATGAAAGTGGACTGTAACACTAGTTTGGGCTAAATTCAGACAGGGGATTACTTCTTAGAAATTCTGGATTTAATGTATTAGCTCATGCACTTGAGGATGTCTCCAACAGCTTTCTTGCTTAGATGATTGAAACCTGGATTTAGGTTGGGTGTGGTGGCTCACACCTATAATCTCAGCACTTTGGGAGGCTGAGGTGAGAGGACTGCCTGAGCCCATGGGTTCAAGACCAGCTTGGGCAACTTGGTGAGACATCATCTCTACAATAAATCAAGAAAAATTAGCCAGGCATGATGGCACATGTCTGTAGTTCCAGCTACTTGGAAAGCTGAGGTAGAAGGATTGCCTGAGTCCAGCAGGTAGAGGCTGCGGTGGCCGTGAGCGTGGCACTGCACTCCAGCATGGGTGACTGAGCATGAATCCAACTAAAAAAAAAAAAAAAAAGCCGGGCTCGGTGGCTCAGCCTGTAATCCTGCACCTTTGGGAGGCTGAGGTGAGTGGATTGCCTGAGCCTGCGGGTTCGAGACCCACCTGTGCAGGCGAGACCTCATCTCTACAAAAAATCAAAAAACATCAGCCGGGCGTGGTAGTGCATGCCTGTAATTCCGGCTACTTGGAAGGCTGAGGCAGAAGGATCGCTGGAGCCCAGTGGGTCGAGGCTGCGGTGGTCAGGAGTGGCCACTGCACTCCAGTCTGGGCGACAGAGTGAGACTCCAACTCAAAAAAAAAAGGAGACCTGGATTCAATGGTTATTGAAATTGACATGGCGGAGCTCCTTGGCATAATGTAAAGGAAGAAAAGGTAGGAAAGTTGCAATGGATTTATCATGTATGACCTGCAAGCCCCCCTTTCCTAATATATGTTAGAGCCCAGGAGACATTCCCTTTACAAGAGTATTCAGAAACAGATTAGTGAGGGAAGTACCTCCATCCTTGCAAAGATCCATGGTTATTCTGTAGCCACTAACCTTACAGATATGAATGTAAGAGATGCCATTGAGATGAGTTTCCTGATTTCAATAGAAATGAGGAAAACCCAGAGTAGCAGAAATCCAGTGGGTAGTACTTCACCATCAAAGACAGGGTGGGGACATCAACTGTCAAGAAAGATGGAACAAACCAGTAGTCAGAATGCTTTAGCCTGCAGAGATGGTTAATGGTGGCAAACTAATCATAGTGTCCCTAGAAATGAAACAGATAATCAGCCTACTAGAACAGAGATCAACTCTACTCTAAAGAGCCACATAGTAAATATTAGGCATTTAGAGCTATATGCTTTGTTTTCCATTGTTACTACTCAATGTGCGAGAAGTCACAGATAATATGTAAACACATGAAAATGGTTATGTTCCAATAATACTTATTTACAAAACTAGGCAGAGGCCCAGATTTAGCCAACGGGCTACAATTTGCCAAGCTATGCCCTAGAATATCATTCTATCTAAGTAACATGAAGTCTTATATCTGCTAGTCAAAAACTTGACAGAAGTCACTACAGGGGGAGAATCATGGTCTTTTACCCAATTTCCAAACCTAGGTCATTCATATACCTAGAAGTTTTTCATGAAAGAAAATAGTAATGTACCACTACCTCAACCCAGACTAAAAATCTTCCTTCAAGCCTTCCCCAAAGGGACCTACAGTTATTTTACTAGAGTGTCTGTGCTTTCTAAAAAGAAAATTATTCTACTGTCCCTGAGATGATACTACACCCTGGGACCCCAAAATAACCCTTGTGGCCATCACCAAAATGGAAGCTATGGTAGTCATGTGATAGATGGGGTTAACTCAGCTGAATTCATGGAGGGCCCAGTTGAACCATGGAAC